CAGATGAGATCTTCTAATAAACGGCAATATCTTACAAAACGATTCGCTGAAATCAATGATCAGACAAAATCATTCAGTAATGAAATCGATGTCTCCATTAAAAAAAATAAGTCAAACGGAAGTGAACAACTAACTTCTGTTGACCACTCTCTGAAGCCTTCGTATTCTCTGATGCGTCATGCTTTTTTTCGCTCGTTGGTGTGCTAAACGGACTTTCACGAGCAGCTTTCTGCAATGATTTTAAATCATCTGTGAAAAAATCTATGGAAACGTTGGAAAAATAATGACAATAGATTTTATGAATATTCCAGATCTCAATGAAATATTCTCGAAATTAACCACTGGTGTTGCTTGTTTCGGTTTTGAAGCAGCCTTTTTGAACAACGAGCTGATGTCATTGCGTTCGGCATGCTTTTGTGTAATTGATTTTGAATGATTAACAGTCTCGTGCTTCTTGGATGATTGCGAATTGGACGACGAAAGATCTAATTGCTGTAAAAGGGATGATTATGGCCAGGAATAAAACCAATATTGAGAATCTAAAGAGATAACCAGATTATGCATTGAATAACCCTCAGTGATTTTGAGGAGTGATCCATAACAGCGCTACCGTTGACTAAGAAAACGTATTTCTAATAAAGGAATTCTGATTCATGGAAATCATCCCTCAGAATAACGAAAATCAAGAGTTGTTTACAATTGAATAAAAACGAATTCCACTAGTCTTATGAAAATTACGTCAGTCTGACAACAAACACTTGAATGCATGTTAACGAACTATCCAAAAAATATTATTTATCCGCAATTAATCATAATGAATCATCATTATAATTAATTCCAAATGATGAAGTGAGAGTACACTGAAACCTTGGCCGATTTTTCAAGAAGTTGAGCAGTTGCAAGATGTTCTTTCAACATCTCATCTCGTTTCACCTCAGCCATTTGAGATGCTAGCCAACTTCGTTCTTTATCCGTTGAATTGTACTCATCATCATCTATATGATCGATACCATACAACGAGTATAAACTCTTCAATTTTGATTTTTTGCATTACATAAAAATGGGATAATGAATATTAAAAATTAACGAACCAAAAGCATAAACATTATTGAGAATAGAAGATTGATAATGAATTTTTTGAAAATAATAGGAGAATTCAAAGAACAAAACGAGATGAAATGATTTAAAGTGAACGATAGAGTTCTGTCGAAACCTTAATGGAATTTGAGTGAAGACAAAATATTTCACAAGTATCCACAGAATGATAATTTTGTTTGATCTTCTCCAAACTCTCGTCTCTGACCAATTGCACACGATTACATTCGATTGGTTTGTTGACGTTTTGTTGCTTTATCTCATTCGTTGATTCATCATTTAATCGCCCGCTTATCAGATAAATTGCATGCAATTTGGATTTGTCTCGATTTTCCATATAAAACGATTGTAATTCGCTGCAAATTTAAACTTTTCAATCACGTTATTAACAGCAGATTAACCAGACTATAAATGCAACATTCTGATGAATTAGGCCACTCTTCAAAGTCCAAAGGATCTCCAATTCACGCTGCTCCCGTGAACGCATTTTTGTCAACTGATATTCGGCGGTTCTCATTCACATAACTAAGGTGAATAAACTAACTCTCTAGCTTCATCAATAGATATATGCGCGTGCCGACTTAAATAAGCAATTGTGACCACTTTCTGAGAATCAAACAGGGTCGTCTCCAGCAAGCCCTTTCGTCCGATACTCATCTTTTCTGAAAATTGTGCAATGCTTACAATTATGGGGTTTTTTTGAAATAAGAACTCGACGCTTTCTCGACCATCCTCAACGTTTCACCACATCTCGAACCACTCAAAATAACTATCGGTTTCAATTCGCAANAGTACAAGCCGGCGATTAGCCTATGCCGCACCATAACTTAATAAAAGTTCACAATAACGGTCTGACCACTTATAAGGCCTTTTCGTATGTTCTTTACAGAAATTGCCTGATATAATCATTGTAAAATTTTTCTTATTCTCCCCCCATACTCAGGAAAGAGACTGGTAATTTTAGTTCTGAAGAATTAGTAGTAACTAAACTAAAAAGTACACGCGAAAAAACAGATGTAAAAAATAGCGTTCTGTAGCTCAACTGGAATTTTTTTTTGCTGCTCTCTGCAAATGTGCGAAGGAAAGCGATTCGCTATTGAAGGATAAAGAACATTCGAAAAGGAACACTGTTAATGTATGACCTATATGCGGCCAACCAGCTAAGAAGCATTGTTATGGTACCGTATGAAATGAATTCTTAAAGATTTGTTAGTATGTAACAAATTTTCATGATATTGTGATGCGTTTGTTTGATACCGGCCGGCACGATATGATATGACGCATGTTAAATAATTTGTTGTACTTTGGCTTTATTTTACACACAAATTGAATCATCCATTTACAAACACTTGAAACACGCAAAATCCATATACAAACGAACATCGAAGTTTTCTACAAATCCACTTCAAATTCACGTTCAAATCCACTCTTACTGAACGGAATTGCTCGTATGAAGAGGATTCCAGAGAGAATTCTAATCGGTTCTCATCAATTTCCAGTTGATATTCCGTAACGATAGCACACGCATCGTTTTAAAGATCAGAATTCATCACGAGAGTCCTCAGTCAACAAATCACTAGAGACAAGATCTGTTTTTACCAAAAATTTGCGAACAAAACAACGCTTGTTGCGATTGAATGTCAATACCCTACTTCTCGATCACGCGCTCAACTCCACCAGTAATATATCATTAATTGTAAGACGAATTAATATTTTTCATATATCCTCCACAATTGTTCAGTAATCTTTTCGAAACGCTTGTTCGACAACAATAAAGTGTTAACTTTGATAACATCGACAAACTCTTGACAGTGAACTTCTCAGTCATTCAATCTTTTTGATAGGTCGCTAGGATGACGAAGGCATCTAGATTATTGGAGGACGACAATGCTGGTTTACCTTACAATCAAAAAGGGCACGTCTTACGCCCGTTACCCTAGGGCATCAATAAACGTTTACGCAGAGAAGGATCACAGCGGTTGGTACGAACCATTTCATTTCACGTCGAATGATACGGAGATATTAATTCATTCTTTATGACAAACTTGGATTATACAAACAAGCTTTTGCAAGGGAATGTGCTCGTGAATTGAGGTTTCACTGCTCAACACACCAATTCAACAATAAATACGGAATGCTCAGATTGATGACATTCAAACGAAGCGATCAATTCACATTTGTTCAGTGAGCTATTGGGGCATGTTCATTTCATTATCATCGCAAAACGAAGTCATTTCCGTTATCACAATTTTATCGCTCAAACGACAAGTCTCAGATATTAGTCGGAAGACGCAATTTGGAGTTGAAAAAAAAAAACGATTCTGGGCTGTGAACAAACGGTAATGAAACGGATCACAATCAGTAGTAGCCTCTGCACACAGACGTCTCCGACTGAAACATCACGCTCAATGAGCTTACTTGTTTCAGGATTAAATTGCTCAAGCCGAAATATTATCGTGATTCAAAAAATATTACACTGAAATATTATCCATACGAAATGCAATTCATTCAAAACTAAAACTACGATGAACAAAACGGAAACGGTGAAAATTAAATCAACAATCAGCAGATCAATTAAGACATCTCGCACATAACACTACACCCAACACAATCGCAGTACTTGTCGCAAAATAGCAAAGTTAATAATAACCATGCAAAAATGAAACAAAACAATAATTCAAAGATCACAAGTTGTTAATAGCCAAAAATTCGTCGATTTAATTACCACTGAAATTAACAGCTTGTACCATCACAGCTTTCCTCACTCAACAGTACCATCAATCTGAATCGATAAGCATAAAATGCGGTCAATTAAATTGCAGCCAATGTATGTGTTTCTCAATGAATCAGTATGAAATAAATCTACTTTTGTGAAATAAATCGCCAAACTAGCCATATTTCGGATTCGAACCACAAATCTTTTCAATGCAATGATGGGACGGAATGTAAGCAGTGAAGATTTTGGAAGTGTTTTCAAGGCTTAACGTTAATCTGGTGATGACAATGACTATGACATTGATTAAACAAAAATCTTTGAACAGAACTAGTAGAATTTGGCATTCGTTGAAGGACGAAACAATGATTGAACAACAGACAATGTTATAATCACAACAAAATCAGCAGAAATCCAGCTGCTGCAGTAAGTAGCAATGATGAAAACATTTAACAGATTGTACAAAGTGAGGTACAAAAAACAAAAACATCAATACAATATGCACTAGTGAACATCATAAATATGCACACAACATGCAAAACTACTAATAAATTCACTTATAGAATAATCATGCAAACGATTCGACGAGAACATAAAAGAAGAATACGAAAAGATTGGTAATAATCCAAAATAATGATCGAAAGACACAAAATTCATTACGTGTTGTTCAATTAAATGCTGCTTTCTGATCAACGTTAAAGAATACTCAACGATATAAACAGAAGAATATGAAATTGTGCCGAACTTAAATGACTGCCACCAACGAAGTATCTAATCTGGATGATTAGCATAAAAAACCAATCCTAACGAGCACTTCTAACGTCATCGAAACAGCATTTATATCATAGGATGAAGAACGGACATTTGTAGATCATTTCAACAATCAAAACAAATCATAGAATGAACAAATGAGTTATGAATGGAATGTTTACATGGCAGTACATGAAAATGAATCAGGTTGAACTGAATTTGGTCGAAAGAAACAACTGAAATGAGCTATTGTTAGGGAATAATCAGAGATACACCTCAATATACACACAACAATCATTGAAGAACACGAAATTTCAATCAGCCATCGTCAGCACACCATCGCAGTTTTATTTTGCTGAAATACCAAACACTTATTCCAATACTGGATGACCATTAATTTTTTGCAAACGATTATTTACAAACACTCGAGAAAGAAGAGGAAAATAGGGGAATTCCCCCTCACTCCAAACGATGCTCTGTTTAAAAAAAATGAAGGCTACGCTCTGTTCGCAAGAACACATTTACTATTGCTCCTCCTATGTAAATCTCTGAGTACTTGTGCCTGGACTATTGTATCAAAAGATTCAGCAAAAAATCGTTAAAACGAAAACAGATTATTGACAATAATATTTACGATGAACTGAAAATAACATAAAATTATTCGGAAAACGCCATCTAACCGGATATAATCGAAAATGATCGAAAACAGTCGAAAGTTCATCGAAAGAATATTGCTGTAAAACGATGAAGTTCACAAGATCAGCCTTTAACGCACAATGAACACAATAAACTGCGAATTTGCCATTTGTTTCACGCACCAGCAACAAATTCCATACTTCGATCTGAATAATTCATTTAAAATATTCATTCGACCGCTCACAATAAACATAAACCAGCTTACTTCTTCTTCACCTTCATAATCTAAAATAAAAAATTACACTTACAAATTACGATAAAATGAGTTCAGTTACCTCACAATTCGAGCAATAATGAGATACTTCTCCCTTCTGTCTCGGATGAACCTTGATTGACTTTCCAGTCGACACGACCACATCAGCAACCATCTTACAATATGCTAATGAACGTATCAGCATCTGTTTAACGATCACGTATAGTTTTTGATTTGAGAAGCGAACATTCCTTGCTAGCTGCCAACACAGATGTTGCAACGGTACCAATGATTTATAGCCCTGCAACGAACACCTTTACACTGATTATCACGGCAAATCAGCGGATGGATCAATACGAGTAGTTGCTGACTGCTTAACGCACAGCATGGTGTCTCTCAGATGTAGCTGAATATTTTGCAGGTCTCAAAGATTTCACTTACTCAGTGGCCATAGCTGCAAAGAAAATAAAAGAAAGACTGATAAAACAAACATTCAATTTATTCCATTCATGACTGAAAATGGCCATTTCTAATTGAGATGCAGTCAACGGTCCTACATTCCACGCCACATTGTTACACCATCCAATACTCTGTACCCAATGCACGCATCCACTTCCAATCCAAACCAAATCACCAGCTTTTTGTATGAACCGATGCACTGGAACGCCCATCTCCAAAAGATCATCCATATCCGGCCACCACACTCCTTTCAAATAATCCATACCTTTTCTGAAAATGTCGCACAATTTGATTTCGAGTGATTCAAATAAGAACTCTTCAATCGCGTAATTCATAATATAATTCTCAAAATTGTTTCCAATAAATGATTTTCAAAGATCTAATGAACAGTGAACAAAACCAACTCTCGCAACATGTTATCAATAACGGGCCAATATTCGTATGGCACTGCAAACCATTCACATTCGCCAGGACCAATATTAATATTTATTGATGCTAAGCAATTATTCTCTTGATGACCAGGTGTACGAGCTCCTGGTACCTAAATTACGATAAATCAGTACACATAAATGCAGGTATTTCCAGCACGGCTCTACGAATAGGATGAAACAAATTATTTATGAAATAAAACGAGCCTTCATATACAACTGAACGGTGTTCATTCCGTAAACACTGTGACCCAAATGAGTCAGCATATTACAGCCAGATACGAGACGACAAAATGCAGGCATTTTGTTCAGTTCGGTCAACTGTTCCCTGTAATTAATTCAGTCATGAGACCACACTTAATATGTGTAATATTCCGATACTCATTCGAAAGATAACCACACTTTAGGACAAACCTAAATTTGGTTTCATCTGAGAGATCCACATTTGTACCAAATTTGAGTAACTTCATAGGCATTTGGGTCTCTTCGAACGGCGCAACACGACGACGTTTTGAGCAAATACCACTTGTATCGTCTCTCTCTCTACTACTCGCGTTATTACTTCCACCATATTTCGCACCTGCTGCGCGCAGTTTTTCTGCTTCCTCCTAGATTCCATGACGACATTTTAAGAAGTTTCATTGCTAACAGATCAATACACTTATAGACAAAAATTACAATTCTCAGAAAAAACTTACGAGAGCAAAAAACAAAAAGTTCCAATGATTCAATAATCGGCGATACTTTCAGATCAAAAAGCAATGCCTTTTGCTAGCCCATCCAGAAAACTTGCAGAATTTCATTTCATCATACAAACATTATCATCTATAGGTTCATTTAAAAGAAATCAATATGAACCTTGAGTGAATACTGAAATGATTGTGCTTGATACTGGGCGTATTTTGAAACTGTTGTGAACGACCGGACACTATGACATGCCCAAGTCGGATTTCCCAAATGATCAACGTTTTGATCGGATGGCATTCGGTACTGAGTACGAACTTCGACCTAAAGTCCATCAATCACTTACAGCAATAATTTAAGAGGAAGCTTCACTTAATTCCACAGAATGGATCAACCATTTCGAAGTAACACATTACACACTTTTGCGATTCACTTCAATTCATCCTTCAATATCTGAAATAATCTTTGAAGCATGAAATCATACCTCATGTTCCGGAGCGATTTCAAGAAGAGATTTCGTTGAGAAAAGGGACAAATCCATTTTCAGTGTCGTTGTCAGACCACGAATCAACGCCACTGTGCTGTTGTAACAAAAGTTTTGCAGTTCAATGCTATATGCATCCCTTCGAGAATCCACTATTATGACTGGTGTTTGTTTTAGCGCCTACAAGTGAACGTTTAAATATTGTTGGTGAAACTGATTAATCAATAGAAATGGAATATGATGATGATTAAATAAGTGAACACAGTCACTGAAGAAGCAACTAAATATTTGACCAAAATGAACTTTTAGATGGATTAGACGAATTTTATTCAGCTGAAAAGTCTTGACTTTCTATGTGAAGCGATGCTACAAGACATAATTTGTGAACGCAACAAAAAAGATGAACCTTTTCCGGCGATAACTTTTCACCGGTTGGTTCAAGCGGTACAGGCGGAGGTACTCGCTCATCGAAGATCTCAACGAATTCACTCGGTTTATCGACTCTTTTATGACACCTTTCTAACAACTCTTCAGCCGTTATCGTGATCGGTACATGCACATTCGCATTCAAAGAGAATGAATGTGGTAAATCTGAGGTTGACGAAACCGATTCTTCCTTAAAATTTTCATACATTTGTAATAACGATATTCGTTGAGGTTGATGCAGCTGCACGATCCACAATATTTTCAATCAATCAATTCGTCAGAGTTCTCGAAAACATGGAAATATATGTATTACTATTAATTCATTGACTTGAATAAATAAATTCATTTGTATCCAATTCACTTCCAGTTGTTTCACAAAAAAAATTCATTGATCCAATCCCATTTTCTCTTTACAATTTCCTCCACCGCAATATCATTCAATCCCTTAAAATTCAGAAAGAAACAGTGAGCATATATACCTGCAGTGAAGTACTAGCTTGAGCATCAGCTATTTCTTGCTTTGTAATAACGATATTCGTTGAGGTTGATGCAGCTGCACGATCTACAATATGTTCAATCAAACAATTCATCAGAGTTATCGAAAACATGGAAATATATGTATTGAGCGCTAGTAACTGAATGAAAAATAAGGTAATTAGGGTAAATATAAACAGCAAAAAAAAAAACCAACCAGTAACTCGCATATTGCCTTCATTTTTGATAATACTCAAAGAAGTTGTTCCACCCAAAACGTTCATTAAATCATCCTGTGAAACAACTGGAAGTGAATTGGAATCTAAATGCGGATCCGCTTTCAAAACCGCTTCTTCCTAAACATTTATTCAACTCTCATTATGCCATTCAACGGTAATAAATCACAGTAAATTGCATAGTTCAACTAAATAAATATTCACGAACTAATCTCTTGAATTGAGAGATCTCTTTTAGAAATTAAAAAATCATATTAATGTGCCTTACGTTATTACAAATATATAATTAAGTAGTCGCGATACGTCTCTAAGAACATCGAAAAGAATGCGAAAAACATGGAAACATTAGTAGCAAAGAACCGTTTACAGAAGCTTTCTTCCGGACTTTTCTCATTCCTCCTGATCATCGCGAAAACAATAAACACACTGTTTTCTTTACACACTTTACCAAATAATAGAACTCAACTTAAACGAAGATATAGTAGGAACTGAATGCAAAAAAAAGAGCACAGATACTAAGATATGACAGCATGCATACGTTCACGAAGCAAAATAAAAACGTAACATAACCACACTTAAAACATAACATGATATAAATTATGATAAAACATATACATAACATAACATGATACATACAATTTTGATATNTGTTATGATAAGAAGTAATGGTAGTAAAAATAATGATACTTTTATCACTGTCATATTATTTTCAGAAGCAGAAGCTTTATTAATAGCGTTTTTGTGAATTGTTTGCATGTGCTGAACAGTTACGAGATGGTGTGGACAAAAGGTGACTGCGAAGACCACAGTGAATGGTACGCTGGGAAGGGCGAAGATATTGGTGATGGGGCCGAAGAAAATGAATTACTGGACGTGTGGATTTGATGTGACACTAACAGACAGGATTCATTCAACACAAGATGCTGCCCTACCCACCTGATCACTTTTGTATGTTTGTTCCATTCGCTGTAATAAATTTTGATGTTCATCCGTTAGAGTCGGTTTATTGGCACGAAGTACTCGCAGCACTTCAAACTGAGTTATTGAAGGGTCAATAGGACTATTGACCTGCAAAATACCAAATCCGTACCCTGCTGTTAGTGATTAGTGACCGAACAAACAAGGAATTTATACGGAAAGACAAGAAGGAGAGTGGATAAATTCATGAATGACAACACAGGAATTATGGGACAGATTAATTAGCTCGATGATTTTAGAGGATGGAAAATTCTGGGAAGAAAAAGGGCGTGGACTACATTTGAAAGCGATAACGCAAGCAGTGAACTGGCGAAGAGAAGAAGCGAGATGTTTGAAAGAAAACTATTGGTAAGCAGCTATAAAAAAAACGGGAACAGCGTGAATGAACTGAAAATTAAGAAACAGAAAAAGGAATTTCTAAAACGAAACAAAATGGCAATAAAGCAAAATAAAATGATAAAAAGACTTGATAAATAATACAACATAAATATTAATACTTTGAAGTGTGACTAATCAAAACAAATAACAATGAAATTTGAAGCACAAAACGAACCGAACGCAGCATTGAGTTAATCGTCAGTAATGAACTTCCGTCACGGTAACGCTGTTGTTTCAGCTGGAACGTTTCAATTATTTTTTAAAAATTACATTAACAAACCAACACAAATCAATCTGATCACCCATACCAAGCTTCTATAATTTTCTGAAAACTGAGAGGACGAGATTTGAAAACTTTTCCATGAAAGCCATTAATTCAATCAGATGATCGGCTTTTTGATTAGGATTTGTTTCGCTTTACATTCTTTTCACCTTGTGAAATTTTCATTAGAAAAACTACCTTGAGAAATTCTTCTTGTCGTTGACTTAATTCGGCTGGAATCGGTAAACGCCAAGCCTCTTCCAAACCAGGTAATCTATAACTTTGAAGATGAACGAAGTTAGCGTAGACTGAGATGAAAACGTGTGAAAATAATCTTACTGGAACGGATATTCTTATTATATGACACTTTGAAAGATCATAACTCACAATGTTATACCTTCTGAATATTCATAAAATTAATCAATCATAATTTGGCAATGGAAAAAAAAANAAAAAAAAATCATTGAAGATAAACTTGTTAGGTTGTTGCGATTGTATATTGCCAAGTAATGAGGATGATGGATGCAATTCTTTCTCAAGCACCCGAATGCGTGCCTTTAATGCCTCAGGTGCAGCTGAAAAATTACTTTTCACTTGCATTCACTCACTGAGCATTCCTAATGATGGTGTTATTCACTGTAACAAATCGCCTATCACTCAAAACGTGTCTCAAAAGACAATCGACGACGTCCTTTAAAAAAATCGATGAATACAACATTTTAAACTGATAGCAATAGAAAAATTAGACAGGCACAATTTTTTCGAAATGCTTTCTTAATAAAAACCAATAGTTACCAAAAATAAAAAACGCAGAGAATAGAGCATCGCTTAAAATGACGACTGAATGTAAAACAATTGTTATATTCAAAAAATGAATTCATTAGATCATTTTATTGGATAAAAGAGAAACACTGGTGGCTTTCACTTGAAGATGGGTCAGATAAAAAAGACTTTTTTGGAAAATGAGAACAATAGATTTTGGATGCATAAATGTAAATTCAGAGAGGACAATCAATGAATAATTAGAAGGGCGAAGAAATGCTTTGTGATCGACGATTCTTAAACTATATATGTGAAGGTGTATTTGGTGTTTACAACCCAACGAAGAAACACCTCTTTTGTGTCAATTTCTTGTTTACAAACAAAGTTATTTTTTTGCTCAGTACACACAGATGTAAAAATTTAATCATCAACAAATGGATAGTTAGACAGCACTAAACGTTTGAGTTACGTTTAGACGGTGAGCGGTTGGTTTGTCGACCGTTCTATGNGAGAGTAGCCCAAAACCTCTGTGCTTGCCAGATCAATGATCCAAGTTCGAATTTCATGAAGACAGATGATTCCCAACGCTATTATCGTTAGCTGCGCGGAAAGAAGAATACCAAGGAAGGAAGAATGTGATATTGGTGATAACAGAGAGGCATAAACTCGTGATGAGTTGAATTGCTGATTAAATAAATGGATAGTTATTTGCAAGAATAAAAACATTATTCGTATACCACAATAGATAAAAGGGCTGAATTATTCTATTTGCAAAAAAAGCCGAATTAGCTGCATGCATCACGCGGCTACAAAGACTGACACACTGATTTATTCATATCTTAATTCAGATGAACAAAGAAAAGATTCGGTGCATTAGTCAGGCATTATACGCAAGGAAATATTCATTAATTTTTAACGGAATCAATGATGTGAAAACCGAGTAAGCAAATACCGATAAAAATAATTGAAAAAAACTAAGTGCATTCGAAATTAGTACGTACAAAATTTTCAATGAACTCTCTAATGCTAACAAATTGACTTCTCATGGCTTCGCTGCGCGCAATTCAGAATACTGTCTAATGTTTGCATTATCTTTTAGTTGACTTGAACAAATCCAGAATAGAATCAACGATCATTTTATTGATTCTAACAACTCAGTCATTTATTAACAGATGAAAATAATTCAGAGTTTAGAAAAAAATTAAATAATGAGTACGAAATGGCATTTTTCTATCAAAATTTCTTCACAGTGAAATATCTCAATCGCGCAAACAATTAGCCATAGACGATTAACCCGACGGCGGTTATGACTTAAAGAAAAACGTTATTTGACTATTTGGTGCCTATTGCTATTACTCTCATATTTCAGAAGAGATCAAAGGACAAATAAAATGAAAAGTGAATCGATGAGAAAACATAACATCTGAAATGATGGTAATTAAAGAAGTGGAACATTTCATAAAATCATTAAAATGAATGGATGACTGTGAAACAAATCAAATGAATAAAATAAAAAAAATTTTAGATAATCTTTATAAGAACACTAAAAAACGATAGGCGATAGAGAATAAAATTTTGCAGCCTATGTAGACATTGATGAGGTCGTTACGTGCGAGTCACATACATTTTGAAAGTGCAACCAACGACAAACCACTTTGATAATAATAACATTATGAAAATGAGATAGACATGCATTCTAACGTGTAAATTAGGGAATACTAGTTTGAAAAAGTGAGGTATTGAGTAAATTAACGAACAATTAAAAGTATACGAACCAAAATGACAACAGACACGTGATTAATTTCATTAGATTTGGTTCAGTATTCGAAATGAACTTAAAATTAGAACTACTGATGCAGTGTTCTTATAGTGAGAAATTACAGGGATCAATCTACAATAAAATGTTGTCACGTCAGTAAAACAAAGTGACCTTGGCAATGAGACGGTCATCAATGTCATTAAAAAACTACAGAAATCGAATGTTTGATCACTGGCCATGCACCTGATCTGTTCAACAAAAGTAACTATAACAACAGCAACGATTAAATGCATCACTATTGGTCAATACGGTTCACCATTGTGAAACTAAATAAATGAAATATTTTTCTCATGTAATACAGTCAAAAAAACAAAATACCAACCAGGGCGAAATTTGACAGCTTTCTTAAAACATTGTAACGCATCTGAAAACTGGCCATTCTCTTCGTACAAACGGCCAAGATCACTCCACGCAGCACTGTGCTCACTGTCTAATTGCACTGCACAGATAAACGCCTAAATAATAAGTCAATGAGTGCTATTTGATAGCTCACAAAACACATTATACTCAATCGAAAGATCCTATAATCATTTATTTACGCCTTAAACTGAACATTATAAAATCAATACCATTCGTACAACACACGGAAACACTATGGAAGGCAACCAAACAAATACAAAAATTTGATATTCAACGTCACATCAAAATGAATTCTTCATTAATCAATGCTCATTATGAAAACTAATTACAAAGCGGTGCAAAGGAAGGCGAAATTTAAATTGATGTGTTGACTGCGATATGAAACAACAACACACAACAACCGTCGCAATCGATCAACTGCTCATTCCGTTGTTTCTGTGAACTCGTTCACTAAAACGAAATCTAACAAACCAGTCGCCGAACTGCAAGAAATCACCACCGTTCTACAATGCCCACTCTGCTTTTTTACGTTCTATATATCCCACACACAATGTTAAACATTAACGCAGAACGAATAAATTAAAATCAACGAGCAAACGTAAATGTGCATGAATATAATCATGGAATGTCAATAAAATATTTTTTATTAAAAAAATTAAAAACCTGAAGAGCGTCCATCGGTTGATGTTGTTGCTGGTAAAGCACTCCAATACTGCACCATGTATCTGCGTCTGCTTCTGACTTATCGATTGATTGTCTACAAGTGGATAATTAAATGAATCGTTGAATGAGATTCAACCTCAAAAATTCATACATTTGAAAAAAACAACAAAGACAATAGATAAATTGAACAATGGATCAAAGTTAAACCAAATCAAACCTGTAATTGAAGAATGCGTCGTGTGCTCTTTCAGGTAATTCACCGTAGCACCTACCCAGATAATAATATGTTTTACCACAAGATGGCTCTAATTCTTTACTCTGAATCAAGTACTGTTCTGCTTCAAAAATTTTCTGATGACGAATATCAGCTGTGCATTCTCGTCGATAGCAAATCCAACCTTGAATAATAATTAATGCTGATATGGGTATCTAATTTCAATCACTCATATCATAAGACGACGAAAAAAATGAATAAACAAAGATCAAAATATTTTTGAATGAGCCAACCAAGTTGTCTAAGTATTTGTGCGTGAAGCGTATTCGATAAAGTGACAGACTGGTCAAGGGATAACGAGCGATACTCGTGGAACGCTTTCTCTAGATCACCACCACAGTCATAACAATGTGCAATGTGAAATCGCAATTCAGTTTTTGACAGAAATGAACTCTCGGCTTTATCGTGAAGTGCTGCGTTTAAGTGCTGAAAATTTAACTCATGCATTCACTAGTCGGTGATCATGATCAATATTATGATTGTTAATCCGAAATTTACAAAGGATGTTTTATGATTTGAATTCTTGCATTAGAATAATCTGCCGAAACTGCTATTATGAAATTGATTCGGTTACGTTTTGAGCTTCAAAAGCGATAAACTTTGCAGAGTGCAATTCAGTGTTGTTGAACGATTATAGCATACCTTAAGAGCGAGATCAAACTTTTCTAGGTTCTTATAGATGAATCCTAAACGAGCATGCACCTCGACTGATATTGACAGATTCGGATATGAAAATAGCAGACGGTTGAACGCTTCTGCCGCTCTATAAAAAATATCCTTTAAAAGACATTCGATAATACTGATGCAAATAATAGTGGTTATGCGATCAGAAAGATATAGTAAGGAAAATAATAATCATAACAATAATAATAAATGGTAGAATGTGGTTGTTAACTACAACGGCAATGATAACCCATCGTTGAATACAATAAAACAATAATAAAATCGAAGGTAAAAGATATAGATGTTGGTGAAGGACATTCATATTAATATATACGCCATCATTCATACTTGCCAAATACATGTTTATCCCTACGAATGTAAATCAGAAAAAGAAACAGATCCATGCATGCAATTGTACATTTATACATACACTCATACATCAATATATTGCAGCAACTATGATTCAAGCCAGAACCTAACTCAATGCTATTACTGCTGACCTAAGCCCATTCGTGTGGACAACAAAACAACACACCCTTCATCCACAACAAACATCATTGCAACAACCTCATCCTTCTCTCTCCCTATTCCGTTCACTTTAAAAACCTCGCCATCCAACATGACAATTCTATTGATCTAAATCTCTAAACCTAATCCTCTCCCTCCTTCTTCAATCCCTTTTTCACTCGTGCATTCTCACTGTTTTAACGTTAATGACACATATCATTTTTAAACTTGACTCTCTCTTTTCCACTCCTTCTACGCACAAATCCTACTATCCAAACATCTAATATTATCCCTTCGTTCTACGGTCTATTGCTGCCATCTTCATCGTCATTCCCCTCTCGAATGGATAAGATATTGGATGCAATGGTCAAATCTAAATAAAAGACGAATTATGTGTTATATGCGTATGACAGATGTTATAAATTTGTATTTGCAATGCTGGTTATTCTTTAGGCCATTTGTCAGATGTTCACTTCTCGGCTTTCAAGTTGCACCACTAGTATAGTGATGATGATAGGACATCAAAACACAACTAATTTTGCATTAGACGACAAATTTCCAGGAATACATCCGTCGTTAATCTTAGCGATCAAATGAACCTATCACAAACATGATTCTTGCTTGACGTCTGCCGTAAAACTCATTATATAAACACCACTTTTTGGCTTCCCAGAACTTAAAATGAACCCATCAACTGATTATATTTTGGCCCAATCGAAAGCGGAAATCTTACTTGAACGTTTACTGAAACTTGCACCTACAGTGACCGCAATACACTCGACACTTTGAAGTGGAAAAAATCACGAGAAAAGACTTTTGAAGAGAGAGCCAATACAGTGTTCANATCTGCTTCAGACTAAAGCATTAATTCAACGGCTTGTACTGCGACTGCGTCTTACCTCATCCACAACGCCGTCCGCTTATACGGTAATGTTTGTATAAGTGACATCTAAGTCTGCTTATAAGGCGACGTAACACCAAATCACATATAACGTTATTTGCTTATTGTTCTTCATAAATTTATGTGATCTGTTCTTTCAGCAATAGCCAAAACGTTTCGATAGATCAAAAACTTCTACAGTACCATCAGTTATGCACAATTAGCGAAAATGCAACACTCAACAATAATCAAGTCAATTGCAAAGGCAATTCCATTTTCCTTTCAGGGAGGGGGTGGAGGAGGAGGGAGGGAAGGACAGGTTTACCTAAATCGAATAAACATCCTCGAATTGAAACATGCAACTTTCATTGCATGTATGCTTGGAAATGCGGTTGTATAAGGCAATGAATTATAAAACAAACGACAAACATTGAGAAGGCACGAAAATGGAAATAGACCAGTCCAAGACCAAAATATGCTGACGGATCTCTCCAGAAGTGATCAGAATCCAGTTTGTACGCCTTCTGATATGCCGATAGAGCTGTAACGCAAAGTATTTTAGACGAATGAGAAAGAATATTAACAATCAAAATCGAATATTCAATTAATGGTAACAGTGCGTTAGTCCGCCAGAGGTGGCTTTGAAATATAATATTCCTTTCGAAATTTTATGGTTCTTCCAAACCGTTCAGTAGAATCGTAACAAATAGTTGAACTGATCCAGATGCAAAAGAAGAGAGTTCTGCTCGTATGCAGAATAATACCAAAACAAAACCATCAAGTCTGCTACTATCGAGTCACTTTGTCAAAGTCAACAAAGTAATCTTAAAGTGATCGAGAGCTGAATTAACCTTTAGCGAAGTCTTTTGCCAACAAATTCACATGACCTAATTTCAGATAAACTGTAAAAAGTTCAGAAATTGAATTTTTGCAACCTTCCCCAACCAATTTCACCAATGCGTTCTCGTATATTCGATTACCCTTAAATATTTCAGTGTTTAAATGGTTAACTATTCACCAGATTAAATTACTCATTGCGGAAGAACACGTTCACTGGTGGAAATAAATGACATAATTGAGAATATATGCAATAATAAGAATTTGCAAACACTTAACATGAAAAATAAACACAACGCATAGAAATAGTGGAAAAAATACATCGAAGAATTTTGTGAAGTGAATGTAAGAAGAACTGATTAAAGAATATATCTCCATAGTGAATGTAAGTTTTCGTGGAATGTTTTCAATATATTACAGAACACAATCAATAGAATTGACATTTCATTCGAAATATAGCCGCTTTCAATAGAAAGAAGAAAGGTAACCTTAAACAGAAGAACTTTATCTGGAACTGTACGCGGTTTGCCATTTCCCATCCAATAATCAACAAAATTGAAGCTGAAAATGTAAAATTTCCAACATTCCAAACATCACCTTCAAATTACTGTTTGATGGGACTTAAATGAAACGGCTTAAAGAGTTAACATATTGTGATTATATGACGGAAAGGTGATTCAACTTGTCTCGGCAAAACATCAACACAACCGTATTTTCTGATTATCGATGAAATAATCCTTCAACTCAACTGGACTTTAAAAATATGCAGCACGATTACATGAGCTAAAAGAAGCAAATACACAAAAAAAAGCTGAAATATTGACGCCGTTACGCCTCCTCATGTAACACATCACAATAAAATTAATTTGCACGAGAACACCCTAGAACATGAATAACAGAAAGACTTCATACAAACTTATCAGTCTAATGATCACTGAATATTGCTAAGTGCAAAAAGATATCGAAACGACAAACCTGCTTAATTTTTCGAATCTTTTTTGTTCATCGGCAGAAAATGAAGGTTCAACCGATGAAATCATTTCCTTTTCCGTTTTTATATTTCGTATGAATTAACGCCAAGATTGAATCGTTCAATTTTGAAATTTTATCTGCAAGAAATCGATTCGCTTGAATGACAATTTTGAGCCAACATTATAAACACATTTCAAGTGCACATTAATCGTAAGTGCACATTTTGGAATAAAATCTACGCTTCGCAATGAAAATTCATCAAAGAGTACAACAAGACCACGGAAACAAAGAGGCAAAAACACTCAAATAACTCAATGAACCATTCTAAATAGACAAATTTGGAATTACCTAATTCACAAAAACACACACACACACACANGGGGAAAAACAACTTAAGAAGGCAATTGCTAAAACTCGATTGCACGAGTCTGACTCATAAGTCAGAATTCTTGAATGCTCTTAGAAGAGGTTCGCAGTATAGAATGAACCTCTCAAATCTTAAGCATTCAAATGCATTAAAAACGCCGATGTTAAGGAATAGAGATGAATTACTTTTTTTGGCTACACTCGCTCGTCCGTTTCGAAATAAAGTGACACTTCACAGAGCACCCAAGAAGATTGTTTTGCAAAACAATGAGCGCCCCATAGACTCACCGTTTCGGAAATAATCGGAAAAATGCAGCTTAATCAGCTTCTTCTAGCATGAAGAGCATTTTGTTAATGCAGTTTACGTCTTCATATGGCACTAGTCATTATGAGTCTTCCTGCTCGCTGGGAAAAGAAATCACTAAGAACGCAAAAAACCTGTAACCAGAGAGAATGTAACACGCGATGAAATAACGCTCAATCACATAATTCACGAAAAGCAGCTTGACTTGATAGTTGAAAAGTTTATTTCTGAAACAAGAAAAAATTTACAAATGCAAAATGAGAATGGGTGTGAATAACACCATCCGTAACACGATAAATAACAATGCAATCATGTTATATATATAACACTCAAGACTGTTGATCATAAAAATGAGTTTAGTAGAAGTTTTTGATGAACGGTATTTTTTGTTAGGAAGCCGGGGATGCCTCCCGAATCAAACTAATCAGCACAAAGAATTCTGCTTAAAGGACACTGTTTCCACCATGAAAGTCGCCCTCTTTCCTTTTCTATAAATGCAGCTTTGATTAAGCCTTAGATAAACCTCAGATAATCAATTACTAAAAACAATGACCGATATAACCCAGTCATATCCCACTCACCTTAATATTTTCAAAGCAATCAGTGTGAAATAAAGCATCATCATTAAAGAAATTAGAGACAACCGAAGAATTTGTCGATCGTGAACGCACAATGATACTTATCAATTTCAAACACTTTCAAAACAAATTCACACTTCTTATCGAAATTAATTATATAATGGCATTAACATGAATGAAATTGAAACACAGTTACGCGTGTTCTTACATAACATCACCTATGTGCTCTTGTATAAGGAAGCAAAAATATGAATTAAGAAAATGTATTAGAAGTGAAAATGAATAGCAGAAATTATACAGCACATTTTTTGTTTTTCTTCATACAATTTCTCAAACAGGCAATTCACAGCAATCACGCATCCAAAACATAAATTTCATCTGAACAGCTACAAAAAACTGATTGAATAAATGTATCAATCAAAAAAAACACAAATGGAAATTGAACAAACTCAGAAAATAACATCCACCGATTAAATACAACATCATGAACAATTTAACTGTAGTAATAGATCTTCAGTTATTCCAACCGAAGCTAGTTCAGCAGTTACCCGATCCAAATAGGTGTCGTCTGGATAGCCGAAACTGAAGATGAAAAAATAACTTAATAATTCAGATTGAAGTGATGGCTTAAACTGAAGCAATGAATTAACTCATTTTTAAAATTACAATACCAGAAAACCTGTGTATTAAACAAATAAGTTTCGAAAATTGTATAAAAAACATAAGGGCTGGTTAAAATAATTTAATTAATCAAATGATACTGCATCAATTCGATATCCAACTGAAAGAAAAATTGTCGAAAAGAAAGTTTTTACAGAAAGCGTTTACGAGGAAACAAACGAACTTCTGCGGTCCACCATAAACACTGGTCTTATTATGAATAGAATTCCATACAACCACATCCGTTCTACCCGTTGTAACAGAATCACCAACTGTGAACATCAAGCGATAACGAAAGGCCAATTTGAATAATTCAAGAACCTGAATGAAAATTTCACATTCGTTTGATATTATACAGGAATCTTCTGAATATGCAACCAACCAATTAATATTCAACATTTAAATTCACTGAAGTAAAAATGTTCCCTTCTTCAGAAATCAAGAACATTAAAATTGGTGAAGATTCATGTATGTTACCGGCGTGAACATCAGTAACATACAAAAAATTGAATTGTTTATGCTGTCACCTTTTGACCTTGTTCATTGTTTGGTAGATAAGCCGTGCGTGACGTGCCATGATAGTAATTTCCTGGCCTTGGATGGTCGCGCTAGAATTTACATACTTGGAAATTAAAATGCAATTAATGTATCAAAATCATACTCTGCGATTGTAATTATAATCGACCGAAATCCATTTGGAATTCGCTGACGAAATTTTGTTTTGGACAGTTTTTTGTCACCCCCAAAGTTCAGAATCGCAAAAACGAATTTCATTTAGTTTCCGCCAAGGAATCTAGAAATTTTCAAGTGTAATCGAGATTCTAAATCGCGGAAGACAGGTGCCATCAGATTCAGAACGAACCAGCTTTTTAATTCCATGGTGTCAACACTTTGTTGGTATTTTTCATTTGAATGACTTTTGAAGTTGATAATTCACGGTGATTTACAATAGATCCAAGTTTGCAGTGAACCTGCGGTAATAATCAAAGCAATATTGATCTTGAAACTGACCGTCTGTATTCCAGATGGAATATTGTAAAATATCTCGAAATAACTTTTGCAATTTTCAAAGCCGGGAATTTTGCCACGTCTCTCTTCGACGTGCATGTGTGCATTCAGAGGCTGATTACCTCTGGGTACACCATACCACATTCTGCACGTCGGACACTGTGCTTGTAGCTTTTCAAATGATTTCTGCAATTTGCGAACTTGCCCAAATCGTTTCGTTATCTTATGACAGCTATACACAATAAAATACTATAATATTGTCGATTCGTTTTCCGATTCACGTATTCATATATGTTAATAAATCCAGCGCAGTTCATTTGAACTGATTACTTCATGCATGACAACAGATGAAATGTAATTTCTTAATCCCTACATTTCAGCAAAAACATGCTCGAATCAGAGGATGCTGTGCTCACCTGCAGACAGGATCTATGGAAAATATGAGAACACTTCTTCAATTTGACGGCAGCCGATGGATCATTCCGAGAGGCTCTTTCAAATTCACATAGACACACTGCACAAACACTCTCATTCGAACTTGCACATGCGTTGTCGCGTGTTGATAATGAATCGTCTAAAATTCATAAACAGTCATTATACTGCAAAAGTGCAACATTTTCATAGGTTACATTTAAAAAAAATGAATGCGAAACTCAGAGATACTGTCGTTGTCGACATCAGCACACTCTGATGAAGCATTAGTTCAGCGTTCATTGACTATAACCAAGCATTCACTACAATGTCATTGATTGAAAACATAAACATAATCCAATAATCATTTACCGTCCATTTCCGATATGATATCAACATACGGGTCAATAAGGTCACAACTCAGCTCGGTCGTTCCATTCAATTTTTGTTCGCCTGAAATCCATTTTATTTGCACGAAATGCTCCGCAGGCCAAATTATCTACGGAAGCGAACATCCATTGTGCGTTTCGAGTCAATGACCACATAAAAGAAATTGAAACGTATCGAATAAAGAGAGGAGAAGCAAATGATAAACTTTTGTATCTCACAGCATCTGAATTAGAAATGATCCGTACTATATTACAACAATAAGACTGAAGAAGGAGCATTTCGAAATACGAGACTTACACCAGTCAAAAATGAAAAATAAGGACGTTCATAGATGGGTGGCGATACCATGTGAACTTCCTCGCAAGTAACTCACTTGTATTAATCGGATGGCCATCAACTGTAGCAACTGCATTCGGGATTGTCAATATTTTTTTCTTGAATTCCTCGACGAGTACACTGACCACTTCCATAGATTTATCCACAAATCTGATTATCTAAAACGTGAAATTAATTCAGCTGATTTTACTTGTATGCTATACGCAACCAGATATGACGCTTCTCTGATTGCAGATACTGTGAACGGCCATAAAATGTGCAACTTCAAACTACAAGTTGAATCAAGACCGATGATGGAGAGTGACCAAACCAATTATATCAAATGATAACAGAATCTAACATTTCGACCAAGCGTACACTCGAAAGTTCATAATGCACCCACAACTCATGCAGATTCTCACAACACTCAAAATTATTAAGTCATCAGCAGAAGTCACAAATGACCGTAAAATGAAAATAACCTTAAGATGATTTAAAACGGAATTCTTAATGAGATCTTCAATTACATCGATTGCCTTGGAAGCTGAATGACTTGGTGGAACACGTAAAAAGCCTGAAATGAGATGAATCAGTTGCTAAAAACATGGCAATAATCTGAAACACAAATCTTAAGAAGAACAATAGTCCGCAGGGTATTTTCAGTGAGACAGTGCGTTACTGCATTCTTATTTGATATGATAAAATATCGTGCAATACCCATCACTAAAGACATGCAAAAATGCTGGTCACCGATATCTGACAATCAATATACTTATGACTAGAAATGAAACTGTATGAATGAAATCTATTATAAAGTCGCTGAAAGAAATGTTAATGCACCTGTTCCAAACGCACAAAGACACAATGAGCTGCACTGTCGTTGGTCAGCGGTAATAAAAGTGTTCCGGTAAGCATTTTCAACGTATGCATGAGTTGGAGCACACACACCAATTACATAGTTCGCTTGTAGATCACCACTCGCTAATACAATTGCCTCACCTTTGAGTGGTGTCGAAAAGTCGAGTTGTTCTTTAACAGTTTGAATGGAAGCCTTCAATAAAAGCATCGGTTAAGAATTTAATAACATCTAATAATAGTGTTCGATTATCTGAAAATGAAATTTCTCTAGAAATGCTTTTAGTCGCAAAGGAGATTGCTTACACTGAAGAAATAAAAGATAAAATGCATCGTTCCGAGAAGATAAAATTAAAAATTTCGAACTACTGATCGATCGGCTTAAATGTACACAAGATTACAACCGAAAAGTGGTGCTCTTCATCTCCGGCTGGCACTTCAATGAGTCAAGTATCAGAATAAGTTGAGATGATTGTTCAAATGCACACAGATGATAAGCAGTACCTTAAGTGAAGGACCCGCAGCACGCGCAACAGCTTTCGCCACTCCACTCGAAAACGATAATGTCGATGCACATGATATCGCTATAGCATCACAACTTTTATCTGTAATTGAACCCTGAAAGTTACGCATAAATATCTTTACGTTGCCCATATCACCCGGAAAAATGTTTGCGACTGGTACGAACCGAATCCTCTGCTTGGATGTATCATACTTTCAGCATTTCTAAACACAGAGAACCACGGAAAAAAATTTTCTCGGTATCATAACGAATTAATCGAGCAAGTTTTAAGTCAACAAGTACCTGTTGCACATAGATTTCAACGTTGTCCCAAACAATCTTCAGCTCTGAATGTTTCTTAAATGACATCTAATGGAAAATCTAATGAATACATTCACACTGATGAGGCAAATACCTTCAATCCCGCAGGAATGATGAAATACTTCAGAAAAAATAAATTACATGACACCCCTGGGCTCAGAGGTGTGGGTAGAAGAAGCCAAATTGCACTTTCGTACGCGCGCGGGCCCGAATGTTTAAAGGTGAGAGAAGGAGAGGAAA